ACTGCACTCCAGTTTGGGCGACAGAGTGAGACTCCAACTCAAAAAAAAAAAAAAAAAATTCTCATGCTGACCTGTGGAAGAAGAAAACATACTTACCTTGGGAGAGGAGATGGGGATGTGCAGGAATTTCTTTTGGTTTATAGACCATTCTTTATGTCATAAAACTATCTGTCCTCTTTAAAAACATTGGAAAATGTGAAAGGGAAAGGAAAACTGAATAAAACTTCCTTTCCCTAATCTTATATTTTAGGTTTTTGCCCTTTTAGACAATTTTTTCCTATAAATGAGCTGTTACTTTTTTTTTTTTAAAAGAGATGGATCTTGCCATGTTGCCCAGGCCAGAGTGCAGTGGCTATTCACAGGTCATGCTGACCTTTTTTCATGTTTCTCCTAACTAAAACATCTCTTCCTCACCAAACTAAAAGCACCTTCAGAGGCAGTACTGTAACTTTCCCTCTTTCAAGTGCCAACAGGGATTCTGAAAACTGAAGGATCAAGTTTATCTCTCACCTGTGCCTTTTAATATTACATTTCCTGAGTATTAGTTTTTAATAATACTCTACTCCTTCTAGATATGCAACTATTGCATTAACAGGTCGTTCACTTTGAGTGCTTTCCATTAATGGGAAGGACCTTGCTTATTCAAATTCTTCCCAACAGATTGCTCTTGTGTCCAAGCAGGATTCATTTATAAGAATAGCTGGGACAAACTTGCAAATGCATTCAACACTCTACCACTACCTGTAAAACTCCTTTCTATAAATTCTGTCTCCTAGGGCCATCATTCTAGAGCTGTATCAATCTGGTGGGAAGAAATAAAGCAAACTAAAACACTGTTAGTTTGTTCCTGGAGAAGCAGTGTAATACTGGGAAAAGCAAGAGATTTAAGAACAGGAAGACTTGGGCCCAACTTTTAGTACCTGCATTCAATGGCTATGTGATATTGAAACATCATATAAGACTTTCAGAGTCTTAATTTCATCATCTATAAAATGAGTTACTCTCCTGATTAATGGAGAAAAGCACTGAGTAAACAATAAATATTGATTTCCTTCTGCCTTTCAACTCTCCCTCTAAATCACTATTTTTGTATTTCTTGATTCAGAGTCTCACTCTGTCACCTAGGCTGGAGGGCCATGGTACACTCATAGCACGGCAGCCTCAATTTGCTGGGCTCAGGCAATATTTCCACTTCAGCCTTCCAAGTACCTGGAGCTACAGGCAAGTGCCACCACGCTCAGCTAATTTTTTCTTATTTATTGTAGACACAAGGTCTCGCCATGTTGCCCAGGCTGGTCTTGAACCCGCGGGCTAAGGCAGTCCTCTTGCCTCCACCTCCCAAAGTGCTGGGATTACAGACGTGAGCCACCATGCCCAACTAAATCAATATTTAAACACCAACATCATCTCTGATAAAACAGAGAAAAGAGAACTGGAACAGTGGAGAAGGGAAGAAAGAAAGAACACAGACAAAGCCGTTAGGATGTGTGGGGCTGGCATGCTCGACCTATCTAATTTCACATATTTTGGCTATATCAACGATCATGAGCTCAGGATATGTTAGAAGCTTCAAAGTTTTACAATATTTTTGTACTTAATAAGTAGCTGTGGTTTTTACCTCACCAAATGCTCCTCTGCCTATTACTTTTAAGGATTCAAAATCTTCCAATCCAAGTCTTGTTCTCTTCAAACGAAGAAACTCTGTTTCCTTCCGGGCATGTGCTGACCTTCGGAGTCGTTTCTAATGTACAAATAAGGGAGAAGGAAAGGAGTTGAAATCCTGAAACTGCACCAAAGTCCTATCCGTGACTTGCACAGCTGGAAAACAGGGCCACATTAGACTAGGCGTAATCTTTTCACACACATAAAAGTACCACAAAAGGATCATTAAGCCATCAGACATGACAACCAGGCCATACTGAACAGATGGGTGCCTCTCTCTGAACTATAACTTCAGTAATCCACTATTCTAACGTTTCTAATGAACTGAAGGCATAAACACTCAACAACATTTTCCTTCATCCTTTTTCATATAAAATAAAAATGTGTTTTTCTATTTCCCTCTGGGTTTTATACACATTGTTTATTGTATGCTTTAACTTTCTATTATTCCTACAAGTCCGTGGATCTGCAGTCCAATTCTATATTTCAAGGCATTTCCACTGCCATTTCAGTTTCTGGCAAAGCCCCCTGTTAACTACATGTTTTCCTACTATAAATGTGGACACTGGGTGAAAGAACTGATTTAGGATGGATATTCTGTCTTGATAAAGATTTCAGTCATGCCCGGTGGCTCAGCCTGTAATCCCGCGCCTTTGGGAGGCCGAGGTCAGTGGATTGCCTGAGCCCGCGGGTTCGAGACCCGCCTGGGCAACTTGGCAAGACCTCATCTCTACAATAAATAAAAAATTAGCCAGGTGTGGTAGCACGCGCCTGTAGTTCCAGCTACTTGGAAGGCTGAGGCGGAAGGATCGCCAGAGCCTGGTAGGTCGAGGCTGCGGTGGCCAGGAGCAGCCACTGCACTCCAGTCTTGGTGACAGAGTGAGACTCCAACTCAAAAAAAAAAAAAAAAAAGTCGGGCTCGGTGGCTCAGCCTGTAATCCCACGCCTTTGGGAGGCTGAGGTGAGTGGAATGCCTGAGCCCGCGGGTTCGAGACACGCCTGGGCATGTGAGACCTCATCTCTACAATAAGTCAAAAAATTAGCCGGGCATGGTAGCGCGCACCTGTAACTCCGGCTACTCAGAAGGCGGAGGGAGAAGGATCGCCGGAACCTAGCAGATCAAGGCTGCGGTGGCCGGGAGCGGCCACTGCACTCCAGTCTGGGCGACAGAGTGAGACTCAAACTCAAAAAAAAAAAAAAAAAAGATTTCAGAAATTTGTCCCACTTCTATGGATCCTTTTCAGTGAATTCTGTAAGAATGCCTTAACTTGTCCTTTTACATTTTGAGGCCGAACTTGGTGGCTCAGTCTATAATCCCAGCACTTTGGGTGGCCGAGGTGAGTGGATCTGAGCCTGCAGGTTCGAGTCCAGCCAGGGCAACTTGGTGAGACCTCGTCTCTACAATAAATAGAAAATTAGCCGGGCGTGGTAGCGCATCCTTGTAGTCCCGGCAACTTGGAAGGCTGAAGCAGAAGGATCGCTGGAGCCCAGCAGGTCGATGCTGGGGTGGCTATGAGTGTGCCACTGCACTCCAGCCTGGGCAATGGAGTGAAACTCCAAAAAAAAAAAAAAATTTTAATTTGCCTGACCCCACACCAGAGGATGTAAGGACCAGTGGAAGGTCCAAACTTTACCTGTACAAAAACCACTTATGTACCTAATCCTGACTTGTATCCCACATCTTTAAAATAAAGAGTGGAAAAAATAAATAAATAAAGCTATAAATATTGCATATAAAAATATTTGATTTGATTTCATTTCTTCTTTTTCTTAGAATTCAAAATCTAATTTATTATAATTATTCTAGAAAAGTCTTCCTCTCCCATGTACTTAACAATTACCTTTTCCCTCTGCATGAATACCCAAATCCAAAAGCACACCATCCCTCAAGTTCCTCTGTTACTGAGCCAAAACCCTTCCCATGTGTGTCAAGGTTATCAATTTGATGGACAAGATACAACCTGCCAAACAGGCTTTCAAAGAAGAAATCTGCAATATGAATTACCTCTTCATCTTTTAGGCCTTCTTCCTCCATCACTTTTTCTAGCTTCTTTTGTCTAAAACAAACAAAAACAAAAGACATATGAAATAACATTTGAATGATAACTTTCTGAAAATTCTATACAAGCATAATACTGTACATGATTTTTGAAAAATGACAAAAACAAATAAATCTCAAAATACCTTATTAAAACTAACAAAATTAACAACTCATTAAAAAAACAAAACAAGCCGGGCTCGGTAGCTCAGCTCCGCGTCTTTGGGAGGCTGAGGTGAGTGGATTGCCTGAGCCTGAGGGTTCAAGACCCGCCTGGGCAACTTGGCGAGACCTCATCTCTACAATAAATCAAAATGAGCCAGGCATGGTAGCACGTGCCTGTAGTTCCAGCTACTTGGAAGGCTGAGGTGGAAGGATCGCCAGAGCCCAGCAGGTCGAGGCTGCGGTGGCCGGCAGCAGCCACTGCACTCCAGTGTGGGTGACAGAGTGAGACTCCAACTCAAAACAAAACAAAACAAAAAAACAACTCTGGCTTTTGAGATGACTTATACTAATTTACATTGTTTACCAAGCTGTAGTGCTTTAAGAACACTACTTAAAAAGCTAAATAAACTGGGTTTACATTTGAAAATAAACAAACAAAAAGTAGTGTCTAAGACAAGTAAAAGATTCCCATTCTTTGTTATAGTTACATTTTTAAAAAGATTATAAAAGATGCTAATGCAGCAGGTACGGTTTCTCACTCCTGTAATCTCAGCAGTTTGGGAGGCCAAGGCAGGAGTTCAAAAGACCAGCCTAGGCAACATAGTGAGACCTTGTCTCTACAAAAAATTAAAAAATTCGCCAGGCTTGGTGGCATGTACCTGCAGTCTCAGCTACAGGGAAGGCTGAAGCAGAAGGATCACCTGAGGCCACGAGGTCAAGGCTGCAGTGAGCCATGATCATACCACTCCACTCCAATTGAGGAACAGAGTGAGATTTCAACTTAAAAAAAAAAGATGTTAATGCAACAAAGAATCTTGTTTCAAAACCGCATGTTCTCTTTTCTCTCTCTTTTTATTTTTTGCAGTTATTTCCTCCTTACCAAACCACAAAACTAGTATTTGATAACCTCTTATAACACAGTGTTTCTTTCCCTCTCTCTGACTGAAATCTACTTCCTTTATTTCTGCATCTTCCTCTTCTTCCCTGCATAAACAAAGAGTAAAAAATAACAAATGTAAAGATAAAACTTAGAGATTTAGCCAGGCACAGTGACTCAACTGTAATCCTAGCCACTAGAAAGGCTAAGACAAGATGATTGCTTGAGGCCAGGAGTTCTAGACCAACCTGGGTAACATACTGAGACCCTATCTCTAATATTAAATATATAAATATATATATATATTTGATCAAATATAAATAGAAAGATAGGAAGGAAGGAAGGAAGACAGAAAGAAAAAGAGGAAGGAAGAAAGAAAGGTAAATAGATAAGATTTGGAGATTTAAGGGGAAAAAATAATCAAAATTGAGTCAAGTGGACTGGTTCACTCCTATAATCCTGGCACTTTGGGAGGCTGAAGCAGAAGGACTGCTTGAGCCTAGAAGTTCGAGAACAGCCTAGACAACATAGTAAGATCTTGTCTGTACATAAATAGAAAAATTAGCCAGGGCGGTAGCACACACCTATAGTCCTAGTTACTCAGGAAGCTGAGGTAGGAATATCACTTGAGCCCAGGATTTCGAGGCTGTAGTGAGCTGTGATCATGCCACTGCACTTCAGCCTAGGCAACAGAATAAAACCCTGCCCCACCACTCCAAAAAGAAACCAAACAAAAAAAAACCCTTAAAAGGTGATTGGCACCACTATCAAAACTTAAGACTCCAGGCTGGGCACAATGGCTCATGCCTGTAAGTTCAGCTTTGGAACGTCAAGGTGGGAAGATTACTTAAGCCCAGGAATTTGAGATCAGCCTAGGCAACACAGCAAGACCCTGTTTCTTAAAAAACAAAAAAAAATTTTTTTAATTTGCCAGGTATGGTGGCACAAGTCTATAGACCCAGCTACTCAGGAGGCTGAGGTAGAAAGACTGCTTGAGACAAGGAGTTTGAGGCTGCAGCAAACTATGATCACACCACTGCACTCTAGCCCAGGTGACAGAGTATAACACTATATAGAAAAAAAAATTAGCAAAATTAGTATTTATACTATAACTCTATAAAGAAGAAAAAAATTTAAGACTCCAAACTCTTGGTATAATGAACTTTAGTTTAGAAACTGCATCCAATAACATTTTTATCTTCAATCTCATACTAATTTGTTAAAACCAAAAGAAGCAAGTAAAACTTCCTTATAACCAATTCCACAGAAGCTTCATTTATTCAGCATAGTAAATGAAAGTACATGGGTCAGAATTTCCCCTCCACCAGTCATCAGCATTCCATATAAGTAGACAGTATGAAAAGGACAGTAGCTGGGCCCACTGGCTCACACCTGTATTCCCAGCACTTTGGGAGGTGGAGGCAAGAGGATTACCTGAGTCCCAGGGATTTGATACCAGCCTGGGCAACTTGGTGAGGCCTCATCTCTACATTAAATAAAAAATAATTAGCCAGGCATGGTGGTGTGAGCCTGTAATTCCAGCTACTTGGAAAAGCTGAGGCGGAAGGATCACCTGAACCCAGCAGGTGGAGGCTACAGGGCCACGAGCATGCCACTGCACTTCAGTCTGGGTGAGAGTGAAACTTCGATTCAAAAAAAAAACCGGGATCGGTGGCTCAGCCTGTAATCCCACGCTTTGGGAGGCTGAGATGAGTGGACTGCTTGAGCCCGTGGGTTCGAGACCCACCTGGGCAACTTGGCGAGACCTCATCTCTACAATAAATCAAAATAATCAGCCGGGCGTGATAGCGCGTGACTGTAATTCCGGCTACTCAGAAGGCTGAGGCGGAAGGATCGCCGGAGCCCAGCAGGTCGAGGCTGCGGTGGCCGGGAGTGGCCACTGCACTCCAGTCTGGGCGACAGAGTGAGACTCCAACTCAAAAAAAAAAAAAGAGAGTAGGGTATGCTGCAGCAACAGCATGTGGTCCAGTGTGCCTGACGCACACAGTACCTCTAATGCCACATCATGCAGGTTGATTGGTATCTCTTTTAGAATAGTGACCAGCAGGTGAAGATCTGATGGAGTGGCAGAGAAAGCAACTGAGAAAGACCTGAGGTCAGCTGAAAGGTATTTTAACAACCCAGATAGGCAGTACAGATCTGGAACTAGGGCTGGTAAACTAGGATGAAGTGAATAGAGTTATTGCAAAGATGACCAACTGGCTGTAGAAGTCAAGGGAAAAGTCTTAGAATATCTTGTCTAGAGGGATAATGATGCCACTAGCAAGACAGAAAACACAGAGAGAAACATGGAAAGAAAATGAGTTTCAATTTGGTCAACGAATATTTATTGCAATAACAACATTTCATAGAAATGAATATTTTGTTAGAAATCATATTACAAATCCACAGCATCAAACAATGAATAAGAATTGTGTCCAAACTCTCAGGAAGTAAAAAGACCTACTCTAATCCTGATGAAATCAAAAAAGCATCTATGTGGCTTTTTTTATTTTTTATTTGAGTTGGAGTCTCACTCTGTCGCCCAGACTGGAGTGCAGTGGCTGGTCTCGGCCACCGCAGCCTCGACCTGCTGGGCTCCAGCGATCCTTTCACCTCAGCCTTCCAAGTAGCTGGGACTACAGGCGCACGCTACCATGACCGGCTCATTTTGATTTTATTGTAGAGATGAGGTCTCGCCAAGTTGCCCAGGCGGGTCTTGAACCCGTGGGCTCAGGCAATTCATTCACCAATGCCTCCCAAAAGCACAGGATTATAGGCTGAGCCACCAAGTCTAGCTCTATGCCCGGCTATATGTGGCTTTTTAAAGAATGCAGGGTTTCCCCCTTTTCTTCTCTCAGATCCCAGAATATTCTGATACACATCTATGAGTATGTGTGCATATGTACTGGAGAAAGAAGGTTGTACTACTGATAGTTTCAGGAATATAAACAAGTTCCATTTCAGTGGTTAGACAGTTGAAGTAGCAAAGAGTAAGAAGAGTCAAAGCATAATGTACTGGCAAAAACTATAAGAACCCAAGTATAATCAGTTCTTTTTGTGAATTCCAAACACTGTCATACCTTCTAACTGTATATTTTTGAATGACCAAACCAGACTTGGATACAAGTCAAATGCTCTATCCACTGTGTCATAGACCAGACTCCTTCTGATTATATTTTCAATCTAAATACAAACAGAGGTTTTCCATAGCTATACTAAAGCAATGAAATTGGTTTCAGTAGAATACCTGCCTGAAAGTAAAGTTATCAGAATTAACTACTTGAACACAGTTACATTATTTCATTAGCACAAGTATCCAGAAAAAAGCTACCATGATAATAATGTATTGGGACCAGACCACAAAAACCTTGAGAACACCAAAAATAGCAAGCACAGCCTGAAATGAGACTTAAAAGTAACATCTTCTGTAAGATATATCAAAGGAATTACTGTTAACTTGGTAAAATTCATGGTGGCATTTACATCATGCAAGAAAGTGGCCATATTTTTTGGAGATGCATACTGGAGTATGTAGTATTAAAATGAAAGATGTTTGGGATTTACTTTTGTTTTTTGGCCAGATAGCTAGAAACCTAATGAAATTTACTTTACAACACAATAGCACGCCAAGTGTGGTGGCTCACGCCTGTAATCCCAGCTCTTTGGGAGGCAGAGGCGAGAGGACTGCCTGAATCTGGGGGTTCGAGACCAGCCTGGGCAATGTGGCGACACCTCATCTCTACAATAAATCAAGAAAAATTAGCCATGCATGGTGGCACATGTCTGTAGTTCCAGTTACTTGGAAGGCTGAGGCAGAAGGATCACATGAGCCCAGCAGATCAAGGCTGCAGTGGTCTTGAACATGTCGCTGCACTCCAGCCTGGGCGACAGTTAGACCACAACTCAAAAAGAAAAAAAAACCACAATAGCAAGGCCAAGCATGGTGGCTCACACCTGTAATCCCAGCACTTTGG